CCTCTCTCTCTCTCTCTCTCTCTCTCTCTATGGATCTAGAGTTTACTTTAGTCTCTCTCTCTCACACAGTAATAGAAAGAGAAACATAAGAGGTAGCTAACCTTTTAGATTTGCTTACATGCATTGGATTGGCTACTGATCAATAGAGAGTTCATCTTATGTTAAGTTATTATTCATGCTTGGTAATACAAATAGATCCCCAACCATAAAAGGATGATTCATCTATTCCTAGTCCAACAGGGATTTTAGCAAGAGAGAGGCATCCATCCCTTGCTGTTTCAGCTTCTCCCCAAGGTGTAAAGGAAGGTAAAAGCTTGAGGGTATGGCCCCCGAGTGCCGAAGCATTGCTAGTCAAGTGCTCCACATTCGTAACTGTAGAGCTAAGTGGAGGCCAAATCGTGGATGGCATGACACGCTTCGAAATCCATCCAAGCACGCGTCCTCATTTGTGAGGGCCGCGCTCAAAGTCTACAGCTGAAAGCTTCGTCAAGGTAGCAAGTCTAGCACATCATCAAACTTCTCTCTGCAATCGGAGAGAGCAGCCACTTCGATCCTCTTCATTGTCTTGCCTTGGACCAAACTTGAGATACACGAAGAGGCATCCTTTGCCTTAGCTAAACATACAGATATTGCAACCCCTCTGGAATCTCCTGGTGTTTGAGTGTGCGTATGCACAGTGAGGGGTACCGAGTGGCTCTGCACGCATGCCTAAGATAATTGCTTAGCCCAGCGCAACACCTGTGCGCAAATGCCGCTGTGAGAACCATGACTAGTGTGAGAGAGAAGCTAGCTTGGGGGGTTCTTTTTGGCTTGTTAGGTTGGAATTAGTAGAAATTTTGGTGCTAAGAGGTTAAGGTGGCTTGTGCTTGTGAGAGGTTCGAGTGGGGAGAAAGGCCCCTTGGGGTGGTCACTGGTTTGGTTGGGTACTGGGCCTGGGCCTGGGCCTGGCTTGTCGAGGGCCCTGGTCCAGACCCGGCTCTACTCTTGGATTGGGTGTCCTTGCCTGGCCCTAGTGGAGGGCTAGTAGACATTAATTCTATCATGTAGGGCCAGGCCGGTCCAGCCCAAAAACCAGACCTGAGGCCTGGGCCGGCCCTAAGGCCAAATTTAGTGCCCCAAGCCTGTGCTGCTTTGGGCTGGGGAGGGGGCAGACCACCCATCACCTCCCTCAACCTTTTTGTATATCGTGGTGCTAATAAAGACCTTGCTTTTAGGATGGGTAGGATTCAATTGTTTTTTGAAGAATTGGTCCTTTAGGATCTTGGTTGTTAGTTTGGTGACTTACACAGCGTTCTTATGGCGAGGTAAAGTGGGTGGGGATAAGGAGGGGGTGGTTTCTTTCTTTTCGGTAGTAGCAGTTAGTCAGCTGAACACAAAAAAAATAATTTGAATCACATGCTCTCTGTCTCGCTCTCGGTTCGAGAAATGGACTACTTCTTGACTCACCACTCTTTTCTTTTGGCAACTTCTCTACTTGCTCTTTTATCTTTAATTGTTCTCAGGGTGTGGCTCCCCTCACCCTTCCAGACCATTCTGTCCCCACCTTGCACGAGACAAAGATGATGCAGTACATTACCCTTTCACCCCCCCCTTTCTCTCTCTCTCTATATATATATATATATATATATATATATATGAAAAAAGTTTATATAAGGCTGAAGCTCTAAACAATCACATTAAGGCGCACCTAAAAAATTCACTAGAAGAAGACGTTTTGATTGAGACAATAGACGTTAAAAAAAAAAGGAATTCAAATCTTAAAAATAGTGCATCTTGTAATGCACTGTCTAGACTGTTAATTTTCAATATTTTCACGTGTTCATGAATCTTTACACTATTTTTTTAAGCTTTAAATTTTATAATCAGCAATGGAAATAAAATCTCATGCCATCAAAAAGATTTTTAGCACTAAAACAACATCTTTCGACACTATTTGAAGGTGTGTCTTATTTTGATTGTTAGGGTTTCAAGACTATATAAACCGCACTTTTTATCTTTTGTATAAAGATGTCACAATCATTTTTTACTATTAGATATAAAATCGGAAGGTTGAGAGTATATTGTTGACCCTACTCAAAGTTCAAAAGAAATCTCAAACTTTGTGATATACTCTTAAGCGATTTGATTTGATATTTAATGGCTATGATTGGTTATGGCATCCTTATTGTAAAGATAAATGGCTTTATAGTTTATACAATTCCAATCTCTATTGGAGGTACCATAGTTTAAGAAGTGGGATCAATGGGTCCACTAGTATTGAGTCCTCAGGAGCCAGATTGGTGGTCTCACTTATCAAAAGAAAAAAGAAATAAGAAATAAGAACGATAACACAAGGGATGGAGAATGGCCAAAATAATAATAAACTAAAATCAAATTGTATATGTCTTCTTAAAAGAGATATGGAGCACTTAATCAAATTGAAAAGCAAGTTCAAAAGTAAAAAGAAACCCAATTGTTCAGTTTTCAATTTGATTTTACAAGAGTTATAGATCTAAAATTATGATATAAAGATTATAGAGTGGTTGTAAAATGATTATAATCATGTTTTCTTAAGCGAAAAATATATAAATAGAGTATGTTTTAGAGTTCAATATCATTCAAGTACTTCCTCAAAAAAAAATTAAAATTTCTCAAATTACCTTGTTCTTCGGGAACCATAATAATTAGGGGTAGACGCTATAATGAAACTTCGTAAGAAGGTATCTCAAGAAATCTATGAGGATAGAATCGCATCCCAAAAGGAAGATCAATGTTTTACTACCAATCACAAGTTTCGGGTTGGGTGCAGTATTGATACCATAAATTATCAAGAATTACTCTACCAATCGCCATCTACGTCATAGATACTTTCTGAAACACTTTTCAAATACAAGAGTGCACTATCTTCTCATGAATTAGTGAATTATAATGTTTTTGTGCAGAATAACAAAGAAAAGAGTAGATCGATCTTCATAAATTTTATTGTATTGTAAATGTAAATTACTCATATAAATATAAATGTGGGAGAAGTCAAGAAGATGCAGGGTCGTTTATCTACTTGGCTAGTCAAACATGAGCCAGTTCATAGATCTTTGATAAGTTTCCCTAAAAGGCCTCTAGGACTCCAAAATATCAAAGTACCCTTAATTATTCTAACTTCTCACCACACAATTGGGGTAATTTGAGGATTTAGAAGTACATGTAATTTGTAACCTTTTGACCCTTTTGATTATATTGCATAAGTTTCAACCTTTTTTTTTGATATTTTTTCAAAAAAATAAGAGAGAAAAACCCAAAATTCGATCCTAGAGATTTTGTTGTTTTGATTGAAAAAATTTATTCGGGCTTTTAAAGATAAATGTTATAGGGACATTTCAGGACATATTTAACAAAAATTGGTGAAGCCATGAGAGATAAATCGTTTCAATTTGGATTTCAAAAAACTCTAGAAAAATTGATATCTTCTAACTAGGTTTGTAATGGGAAAAAAATTATATATACAGCAAAGAGGGCTCA